ACCTGGAATTTCTTGTTGCACTATTTACTTACTAATGACCCTCCTGTTTGTACTGAATATTGTATCGGTAATTAGATTCACAGTGTGCCCTGAATCACTACCACCTGTTAACTTCTGATTTATAAGTTGAGGAGGCAGTATATGTGTCAATGGCTGAATGTGTGAAGTTTCTTAAGCCAGGATACGATTCGTTTACTGCAGCGAATGAAGATCACTGATGGTATGATTATATGCTGCACATGGCTAGCAAGGAAACAGGGGCATAGTGCATTGGAAGGTAAGCATGGTGTGTGAGGATCCGGATGGGGGACTAATTACTGAGATATTAACATAAGACCAGACAAGAGACAGACATGGAAGATTCTTTTATGTTATTTTGATGATCAGGTACAGGTCACTGAGGGGGCTCACCCCCACCCTCTACAGCTTAAGCCACAGGATTCTTCTGTTCAGACAAAATAAAATAAATCAGTATACAGCTAATACAAAGAAGGAGAATAATAGATGCATTTTATTTTATTAATTGCATTTTATTAATGTGTGTTATTATTTTGAGAAAGGTAGTAGAAATGAGAAAGTTTGTCACTTGTGTCTCGCTCTATAATTACAAGTCCAAACCATGGACGCTACAGTCCGAGACCGATTCAGGACAGAGTAGAAATGGTGTTAAGTACTGTAGTTCATCTGGTTAACTGGAATTGCATCAGAAAAATTTAAATGTTGTATTACATCCTGATTACAGTCATATTATAACGCATTTTCCCTTCTGGTTTTCTCCTCTTGGGACACTGCAGGGCCATCAGCTATCAGAAACAGCCCGGACAGTCGATTTCAGGTTTTAAGTCTGTCACGCACATGAGACAATTTTCTCCAGTGATACGTTCACACATTTTCTGTCTTTTTCCCTTAAATGCAAAATGGGGATGAAAGGTGAATCATGTTAATCAGACTGTGATAAATTGATTGTAGTCATTTATTCACATTAAACATAACTTTATCATTACTAAACAGTACACTGATCAAATTTTTACATGTACAAAAATGCTCAAAGTTTAACACTATGTTTAGACACAATTCACACATCTGTTACATTTCCATAATGCTAAGACTCTCAAATCTAATTTACACTTACATAATCCACTCTCTTTTGTGGTGCACAGTCAATTGATGGATCCGTAAGATCATTACCAGACCGTGTGCTGCAAACTCTACAGTTAATAAATGGCTGCAAAAACACACATACACACAAAAACAATGTTGAAAACGTTGTAGGCAATAAATACAATGAGAGAATGTGTAGTAAAGATGTATCTAAAGATTTAAGGCAAAGCTGCTGGACTGTAGGGTTTAATCAAACAAAACAATTTTAGGGGAAAGAGCTTTCAAAGCAGGGACACCATAAGGCTATATCATACAAAGCAAGTACAACTAAAAGTATTAACAACAAATCCCATTTAACTGAACACTGCTCTGTATTAAAATACTGCCCTCCAATCAAGCCAAGTGACTGTGGTTACACTGCTGTACTACAGAGCGTGTTTACTGGATTAGCCAGGTTTCTAGAGGCTTACTTCTGAGTTTTAGGTACTATGAATTGTAGCTGACTATTTAAACAAGGCAAATTTAAAGGGTAATTCACACTGCACACCTAACCTGCTCTGATCAGGTTTAATTGCTGGCTTTCTGATTAAAACAAGAGTTAAAAACACCACACCGCCATTTAATGCTGATTTCAGTAATCAGAGTTGGTTAACCCAGCTCTTTTGAGTTAACTCTGGGTATGTAAAAGCGCTTTGTAATACAGCCCAAAGGTCTTTAATTAAGGTCAGATAGGGTTCATAGCTCGAGGCATAGTCTTCAGTTCGCCCCTCAGATGATTAACGTTTGGTTCTGCCTGGTAATCCAGTCTTTAAGCCTGTAAGTCTACTAAAATTTGAGAATAAGGTGAAGGAACTGGCTGTTTGAGGCCACCTATTTATTTGTTTGTTGATTTTGTTGCTGGCTAACTTTCCCCCACAGAGCATCACCAATACTATCGTGAACTGAAATTTGTTTGCTAACTGACATGTCCACTGCTCACAGTACAGTGACTCACTACTTACCCTGTTGGTCATAAACACGCAGTCATCCCGATGATCTGGTTCAGCTGACTTTGCACAGTTTGTTGCTCTCAAGAGAATCTCAATGTCAATATAGTCACTCCTGATCTAAATCACATAAACATGTTATATACAAAATTGCCTACAACTGTTTTAATTAAAGTATATTAAAATATAATATAAAAATATATAAAATAACAAATAACAATGCAAAAACTGCAAAACTGTCATAGACTGGAAAGCAGCCGATTCAGAAGGAAACAGAAGGAACAAATCAATGTCATACTTATTAATTAAGCTTGCAGATGATGAAAGCTTCACGCTTTTATAAACATTTTCTTTGCAGTTACCTTTGGATCTTTCCATTGGGTATAGAAATTCATGTGATGACTGGTACTTTGATGAACTTTTTTGACTGCGTGTTTAATGGCCTCCTTGAAGTGATCAGCAAGACCATGGTAGTCTTGCTGGGCCTCTGTGGAGATAAGCAGAGCTCCACAAACCAGCACCAGAACCAGCAGGCGGATCATCTTCCTCTCAGCGCTGGAGGAGAAGCAGGACTGAGGACACTGCTCTGTGGTCCCCTTATCCAGCACGTCCAGGGGGGTGTCCTTCACCCTAAATAAACAGACCTTTGAATAGTCCTGGAAGAGACAAATATTGATAAATTATATGTTTGGGTAGTAGATAAAGTCCTACTGCATCAACTGTTATGAACCAATTTTCTGAAATAAAATGCTTGGGTTTGATTAAAAAATAAATTCAATTAAAGATGTTTAAGTTAGATTCAATGGCCTGTACTACGAAGGAGGTTTAACCAAATCAGACTTAACCCCGAGGTAATTTGCTAACGCAAGGTTGACAAAATCAGGTTGTCTCCATCGGGGCTAATCAGTACTACGACGCCAGTTAAGAAGTTGATTTGTTAAAACGGTGTTAACTGCATTGGAGTTTGTGCGCGTTCACATATATGGAGCATGTTTGGCAACGCAAGTGACCGTTTGACTCATGGCGCGATCTCCATATGTTTCACGGAGGAAGACTGCATGCTAATTATGCAGG